CTCTCTTCCCCTTCACAAGCTCAGGATCCACCAGCACGACACCATCTAAACCAAAAGAGAGAGAAGAGTGAGGGTGGCGGACGTGAAAGAGACTGGAAGCTTCTTGTAGTATGTGTGTGTACATATATATATATACCACACGTAATCCATGTTCATTACAGGAAAACTAGAAAGGGAAGCTAAGCAAAGAGAAAACAAAGTCACCTCCACTTGAGATACCCAGAGATACCCATTGTTAACATATCGGTACAGAATGATTTTCCAGATGTATATACATTTTTTTTTTATATTCTTTTTTTTAATGTATATTTTTATTTTTTTGGCTGTGTTGGGTCTTCGTTTCTGTGCAAGGGCTTTCTCTAGTTGTGGCAAGTGGGGGCCACCCTTCATCACTGTGCGCGGGCCTCTCACTATCGCGGCCTCTCTTGTTGCGGAGCACAGGCTCCAGACGCACAGGCTCAGTAGTTGTGGCGCACGGGCTTAGCTGCTCCGCGGCATGTGAGATCTTCCCAGACCAGGGCTCGAACCCGTGTCCCCTGCGTTGGCAGACAGATTCTCAACCACTGGGCCACCAGGGAAGCCCTCCAGACGTATATACATTTATATGAATTTTTTTTACTAAAAAAATGAGATCCTACTATACATATTGTTAACTGCTTTCCTCATTCAACTATATATTGCAAACACATATTCATACTATTCATACATACACACACACATATAAAATGTACTAATCTTTTTAAAAAATTGTATTTATTGATTGATTTTTGGCTGCATTGCGTCTTCATTGCTGTGCGCGGGCTTTCTCTAGTTGCGGCAAGCGGGGGCTATACTTCGTTGCGGTGCGTGGGCTTCTTATTGCTGTGGCTTCTCTTGTTGCGGAGCACGCGCTCTAGGTGCGTGGGCTTCAGTCGTTGCAGCACATGGCCTCAGCAGTTGTGGCTCACGGGCTCTAGAACGCAGGCTCAGTGTTTGCGGCACACGGGCTTAGTTGCTCCGTGGCATGTGGGATCCTCCCGAACCAGGGATTGAACCCGTGTCCCCTGCATTGGCAGGCGGATTCTTAACCACTGCGCCACCAGGGAAGTCCTGAACATTTTTCTTTTTTTGTTGTTGTTGAACATTCTTCTATGTGCTCGTTTGCCACCTATATATTTTCTTTAATGAAATGCCTTTTCATGTTGTTTGTCTATTTTCTAATTGGATTTTTTAACTGGTGAGTTTTGAATATTCTTTATCTAGAAATGAGTCCTTTGTCTCATTTAAATTTGCCTCCAATCAGCCAGTGGCACCTTGATGATGTTAACATTTGCATTTCTTTGATTAGATTATTAACTAAGTCAATTTAAAAAACACAAAACTAGTGGTTGTCTGATGACTTAAAGGAAAGCCAGCATTAAAATCTCACCCCAGGAGACTTCCACGGCGGTCCAGTGGTTAAGACTCTGCGCATCCACTGCAGGGGGCACGGGTTCGATCCCTGGCCGGGGAACTAAGATCCCACATGCCGTGCGGCACGACCAATAAATAAATTAATTAATTAAAAAAAAAAAAACTCACCCCAGACTCAACTTACCCACAGGCTCTACTTGGTCAACATGGTCTATATAGTCTCTCTTCCCCAAGTAGATGGTCACCTGTGGGGAGAACAGGTATGGATTCTAAATGGCCAAAGAACACTAAGGTTTCATGTTAAAAATCAGTAGCAACCAATAAAAATAAATAAATAAAAATTAGCAACAGCCGAAACATTTTGACCAGTCCTGAGAAGAGGAGCGGCCTGGCTCTGCAGCTTGTCCACAACCTCCTCTCTCCCTGCTTGGCTGTAGGTGGACATAGTGGATTGTGGGCAAGCTGTGATCTTTCCTCAACCTCATCAAGTGCTCCAAGGAATTCTTCCCACTCCTTGGATAGCTCCCTGTTCTCCCCACCTTTTCCCATCAAGACCAGGTCTGATATCAGCCAGGTAAACTTGTTGAATTCATTGATGATACTTTAGTGGAAGGTTATGCCTATGCATATGAGGCCCCTGTCAGCTATGTGCATGTTAAGCCTTTTATTTCTAGCTGTGAATGAAAGGTTTCTCCTCCTTGTTAGAAGAATTTCTGATTAAGAGGCAGATATTCTGGAGTCCCTGAAATCCTCTCAGGTGAGCATCTATACAGATAAACCTGAACCCATGCCCTGAAGAATGGGGGAAGGGGTCCTGGATGGGAAAACATGAACACGTCTCAGTCCTTGTCCTATCTGTTTCAATGCCCCTGGCAGCAAAGGTCTCTTTACCAACCCCCTTTGTGGGAGAGCATGGGTTGGGTTCACCACCACTCACCACTTTAACCCACAGCACTGTGACTGCCGTGATGGTAAGAATTCTCTTATTCATCTTTCAGCCATCACAGTATCTAGCATAGTATCTGGTACATACAGGAATTAAGTCGACGTTTGCTAGGTACACCAATGAGCGAGTGCATGGACCCTGGCTAGCCTCCCTCTTCCCTAAGCCTCTGAAACTCGCATTTTTATTTCCAAGGACACTCAAAATAATTTTTGTTGGCATTGTATCATCTCCTGTAACTACCCCCTCATGGCAGTATCCTGGAGTGGATCTCTATGGCTTCAAGGTTATTTGCGTTATTGATGTTGAAGCACCTGAAGGACAGCATAGCCAGGTGATCGGGATGGGGGCAGGGAGTTAGATGGTGAATGGATGCTTTCCGGGCAAAAAAATTCAGTGTGTACAAAGCCCAGAGCCAAGAGAATGCTTCTGGAACTGCCAGTGGTTTCATCTGTGGGTGAATGGGCTCCAAATGGGCATGCAAGCTGATGCCAGAAAGGGTCTTATAGGACCGGACCCTAAAGAATCTAGGAGGATGTGGAAGCATTTGAAGCAGGATGAAAGGCCTGCAACTAAACGGCATGTGGTGCTTGTCATATACCAGGCGCCAAGCTAAGTACACTGACTACATTATTTCATTTAATCCTCACAACTACTCTTTAAGCTAGGGATTAAGCCCATTTTATAGAGGAGAACACTGAGACCTTGGTTGCATTGGCAGCAAAGTGGAGAAGGGATTGGCAAAGGGAAAGCTGATAGTGGTCTGGAGGAGGGAGCACTGAGAGTGAACGGAGGGGAGAAGGTGGCTGGAGAGCACGTCTTCTTTTTCAGGCTTTGGCTGTGAAGGAAGGAGAGCTAGAAAGGGGACAGGGTCAAGAGGGAGCTTGTTGTTCTCGTTGCCGTTGTTGCTGTTTTTAAGATGCATGAGGTGGGTACTTATTGTCATGCTCAGGCCAAGTACCGCTAGAGAGGGAGAGGCTGCACATAGCCCCGGAGGGAGGCTGATGGTGGAGGACCCTAAGAAGGCGGTGGACCACGACCCAGGCTGTAAGCAGCATGAACCTCCATGGAAGAAACAGCACCTCTTCTGCTGCAGCTGGAAGAGGAGAGAAGAGACAGGAGCAGGTAGAGAAGTGGGGCTGGATGTGAGGCTGCAGCCCACCTGCTGCTTGCAAACCCCATAGCCACGTGCCCCATCTTCCTGGATAAAATTCATCAACTGTAGGGAGTCCCCTGGTGGCCTAGTGGTTAGGATTCCGGGCTTTCACTTCCGCGGCCTGGGTTCAATCCCTGATCGGGCGGGGAAGTGAGATCCCACAAGCCACAGGGTGAGGCCAGAAAAAAAAAAGAAAAAAAATCACCAATTGTGTCCAGGGTCCCATGTGGTTGTGTAAAAAGAGGAGACCACCCCAGAGGATGATTCTTTTTCCTTTTTTCCCCAGTTTTACTGAGACATAATTGACATATTGTATAAGTTTAAGGTGTACAACATAACGATGTATGTATAAATTGCGAAGCAATAACCACAATAAATTTAGTTAACATCCATCACAGAGGAGGATTCTTTTCTGTTCGTTTGTTTTTCAGTACGTGGGTCTCTCACTGCTGTGGCCTCTCCCGCACAGGCTCCGGACGCGGAGGCTCAGTGGCCATGGCTCACGGGCCCAGCCGCCCCGCGGCATGTGGGATCTTCCCGGACCGGGGCACGAACCCGCGTCCCTGCATCGGCAGGCAGACTCTCAACCACTGCGCCACCAGGGAAGCCCGAGGATGATTCTTGATTAGCCAGATCCAATTCTTTTGGCTCGGGATGGCTTTAAGGTGGGCATGTGACCCAGTTTTGACCAATGAGATATGAGAGAAGTCTGCTGGCGGGCTGCTGGAGAAATGTCACCTCACCCTTAAGAGACCCCAGGAAGCAACAGGCTTTACCTTCTTCTAGAAGAAAGTGAGCGTAAGGCACCTGAAGCTGGGGCAGCCATCTTGCCACCAGCCAGAGGATGAAGATCACCAAAGACGGACGAGTGGAGAGACTCACAGAGAAACACAGCCAGGGCCCTGGCCCACCACACCTGCAGCCAGGCAAAACTTGCCACCAAAATGATCCTAATACGTGACACATTAACTGATGAATTATTTTTTCCTCCTATATACAAAAGTTCTAAATTTCCCAGGTCAAAGATGTCTATCTAGATGTGAGGAAGAAAAAAGTGAGAAAATGATATGGCCCAGCAGGAGTGTTTTCTTTCTTCTTTTGCCAGAAGACAAGATAAAGTGCACTGGAAAGACACGAGCTGGAAGAGAGTCGGGAGGATGAAAGTTTGAGGGGTACCCAACTTGTCTCCCCAAAGAATCAGAGGACTTGATGAAAATGATGGAGATCCTCAGTGAGGGAGAGGAGAGGCAGGGAGTGTCTGTGCAAAGCCCGATTCTCTCGTGAGGCGCGAAAGCATCGGACAGTTCCTTTCCGGCGCAGTATGTATAGGCTTCAGAAGTCAACTAGAAGAATGACCTAGAACCACACTGTCCAATTCGACAGCTACTAGCTCCAGGTGGCCACCAGCACTTGAATATGGCCACTCCAAGCTGACGTGCTATAAATGTACAACACACATCAGGTTTGAACAACTTAGAAAACGAAGGTAAAATATGTCGTTAATAATTTTTATATCATTTACATGTTGAAATGATAGTTTTTTGGATATATTGGGTTAAATAAAATATAGTATTAAAAATGAATTCCCCGTTTCTTCTTCCTTTTTTAACATGGCTACTAGAAAATTTTAAATTAGATATGTGGCTTGCTTTGGATGGTGCTGAACTAGATTATGAGCCTCTAAGAATCCATAGAGTGGAGCGAGGAGATCCCATCCTCGGAGGCTGTGGGGTGGGCTCTCCATAGGGTGTCCCAGGCCAGGAAGTTCACAGGCACATCTAGACTATCTAACGTGCCCCCGATGGAGCCAACAATGGCATCATCCCTGCCGAATATGCGGAATGCCAGGATATTGGGTGGCCACGCAGCCACAGTGCAGAGGGGCAGAAAGGGAGCAGCGGGAGATGCTCCCTTATCCAGTGGCCCTGGAGGCCCAGCAAGGTTTGAGAGCATGGCAGCTGGGGTGGGTGACAGAAGGCAGAGAGTTGCATTGATCCAGCATCAGGGCTTTTACCAGGCAGTTAGGCGAGATGATAGAAAAAGGGTCAAGTAAGTTATAGATACTGACCAAACAATGTTTGAAATGGTTAAGTCATGGGTTCAAGCCTAGGAAAAGAAGTAAAACTGGAGGCGAGGGGTTGGGGGCTGAGAGATTAGGAGAAAATTAAGGGTCTTGGGACTAAAGTCTTGTTGAGATCAAGGAGAATTTATATTTCTGCAATTTACTCATTCATTTTATATCTCATTTATCATCCATCTCAGACAGAGATGGAAAATAGACATAGAGCTTCCATTGACCTCATAAGATTTTTTTTTTTGCGGTACGCGGGCCTCTCACTGTTGCGGCCTTTCCCATTGCAGAGCACAGGCTCCGGACGCGCAGGCTCAGCGGCCATGGCTCACGGGCCTAGCCGCTCCGTGGCATGTGGGATCTTCCCGGACCGGGGCACGAACCCGTGTCCCCTGCATCGGCAGCCGGACTCTCAACCACTGTGCCACCAGGGAAGCCCACCTCATAAGATTTTGATGTTGATTATGTCTATTCGAAAAAGCTCCTTAAAAAAATTTAAAAAAAGATTACTACTAAGCCCCTCACCTCTGTACTACTTACCGATTTGTCCCGGGAGATCTTCTTGAAGATAACGTGGTTTGGTGTAGACTTACTGTCCTGCGCGTTGGCCTCCATGTTATCTGTCCCTGGCAGTTTCTTCCCTCTGGGGTGTTATGTCAGGTTTTAGAGGGCTAGGAAAAGGTAAAATCATCCTAAATATAAAGTCAAGAACATTCTGTGAATAAAACCCATACATGAGATGCTGTACATCCATCAGACATTTCCTTCTACCTGCCTCAATATCCACATTTGACTAAATAAGGCCTTCGTGTAGTTTGTATTTTACTAGAGTGTGCTTTTTTTTTTTAAAGGTGTTTTAGTTTTCCTGATAAGCCTCAGACATTTCTTAGCAAAGCTCACCAGGACGTCCAGATAGATTCCCATGAGAAGGTTTTACTTTGAGACTAAGCCTTGGTGTTGTCACACTAAGCCAGATTGAATTTAAAATTCTATCTTGACAATATATTACGGCAATTAAAATAGAAAAAGTCCCTGCAAACCACAGCATAACCACTTCACGAATATGATTTTAAAAATACGTTAAATCCCCAAAAGTTTTGCTCAGCAATTCATGCTAAGCAGTGCTTTCCCTTTCCTGCCATCTCTCACCACTCCCCAGCTTTACCCACAACAAAGAGGCCATCCGAGCTGTCTGGAATTCAGTGCGCTCCTTAACAAGCAACGTCCATGAAAACTACACAGAAAAGGTGAAACTGGGACAGACTGACTACACGAAAATGCCAGTCTTCCTGGCGCTGGCTCTTCCCTGCGCCCTGCCCTGAGTTTCTGAGAAGGCTTGTTCGAGGGTGACCACATACCTTGGGCAACCAGCTGGGACGGTCCCAGGAGGTGAGGAGAGGGTCTCTGTGTCCTCCGGGGTGAGCAGGCAGCCAGCCCTTGCTCTGTCTAAACAGATGAGCCCACTTGGGTCCTGGCTGACTGTGTGGGGAATTTGTAGGGAATCTGGAGAGGGCGCCCACACCCAGGTCTCAATGTCTAGAAGCCAAATCCCATTTAAGGAGTAGAGTGGCAACTGGATTAGTGCTGAGACGGGAGAAATGGTAGTTTCAGCAGTTCAAAGCATTAGACAAGGGCCCAGAGGGGCTCCCAGTGCAGGGGCTGCCAAGCTTCAGTGGGGAAGGTTTGGGGGAGGGATGACAGCTAAATGAAAGCTATTTTATCTTAATCCACTTTGGGTTCTGGAAATAGACTGATTATCCCTTCACTCCCGGTATCACCAGGAGAAGGGATTTTCAAGAGCTCAACCAAATTGATTAAACTCAGCAGGCAGCTAATGCAACCTTGCGGGTGGGGATATAAACAAAAAGGTCAAGGAGAAATGTCAGCCTCAGGATAAACCCTGGTGTTATGCAAAAGCCACACTAGTCCTGTCCCTCTCATGTCCCTCTCCTCTACCCTATGTGCTATTGATTACATCACGGGTCCTGTCAATTCGCCCCCAGTGTCTCCAGAATGTTAGTCTCCCATCCCCAGCGCTCCCTCTTGAGTCCACACCAGCCCCTTTGTTTTCCTGGTCTGACTACATCCTTCCCCATGCTGCAGAGGGGGCTTCCAAGCCCTGAGCAGTCACCCTCCCGCTCAGCATCTCGCCTTGCTCTCAGCTACAGGCACACAACTTTAAAGCCACACGCTTGAGCCTCTGCCTGCTGTTGCCCATCTCCCCGTGCCACACTCCCGCTGTTTGCTTTTGCCTGGAACCATTCTCTTCTCCTTTCCTCCTTGACTCTTTTCATCCTTCAGATTCCAGCTCAAGAGTCACTTCCTCAGGAGAGCCTTCCCCAACCTCTCCGACTAGGTTGGAGGCACTATTGCATCCGATGCTTGTACAGCAGATGATTTTACGGTCTCTCTTCCCACACTTGACTCTAGGCTTCGTGACGTCAGGGACCCATGCTGTTTTGTTTCCCTTATCTTTGTATTCCAGTGCCCAGAACAGAATACTCAGGGAATGAATGCATGGGGTGGTGTGGCCACTAACACATATAGGTACTGGACTTGAGCTGGTGTTTGGGAGTGAAGCCAGTCTAAGCAGAAAGTGACGTTTGGGGCGTTAACATCTATCGAAACACTCCAGTGGCTTCCCACCTAAGTCTGGATAATGTCTGCAAGGCCCTGCATGATCTGGGCCCCCTTCTTCCCACCTCACCCACTTTGCTCCAGTCCACTGGCCTCTTTGCTTTTCTTCAAACCTGCCTCAGGGCCTTTGCATTTACTGTTTCCTCTTCTGGAACACTTTTCCCACAGATAGTCACTTGGCTCACTCCCTTAATTCCTTTGGGTCTTTACTTCAATGTCACCCTATCCATCTATATCCTGTTGTGTAACCATCTCACCCAACACTTCTGTCCTCCTTCTCTGCACTACCTTTCTCTGTAGCACTTATCAGCATCTGACATACAAGATAATTTATCTTGTTCATTGTCTGTCCCCCCACCCCAGCATAAGTTCCAGGACTGTAGAGATTTATGACTGTTTTGTTCCTATCCCATCTCCAGGATCTAGAATAGGGCCTCAGTGGACTTTTGAGCAAGTCAATGGGTCACTGGAATGCAACAGTAAAATGGCTGGCAATAGCTAAAGTTGGGAAAAATTTTAATTTCTAAGGGAGAAAATTTTTTAAATTTTTAACGTAGGAGTGCCGGCTAATAAATGCAAAGGGAATGATAGAATTGGAAAAACATCATTTGACGAACTCTGATGGTATTAATCATGCCTTTTTGTTTTCTGTAATTCTGATGCTTTGACATCTGAGGCTTTGCTGACCCTGGAGAGACTGCCATCCCAGGGCTAGCTCTTTCCTAGAGAGAATAAATGACTGCTTTTCATATGCAAACCAACCAACTCAGAGCCCATACACCCCAAAGGCCTCCTTTCCTCCTCTGCTGGGCTCTCACACTCTGAGCCACTACTGCCCTGCCCTAATCACCCTGGGGCCAGGGATCAGACAACTGGAGACAGCCCCTGCACTCCAGGGCCTGCTGAAGTAAATAGCCAATCTTAAGTCTGCTTATCCTATCTCACCAGTTCTTTCCCATGGAAACCACAGAAGAACTCTCGCCCATGTTTTCTCCTTGATCCTTCTACCTCCTGACTGGCCTGGTGCTTCCCCGCATGGCCTGCCCCCTCTTTTTGGTAACTGTAACAAACTATCTTTTCAACGGCAATTGTCTCCAGATCTGCTGACCTCGCCATAGCTGAATAATAGTAAAACTTACGTTTTAAAATACTGATGACATCATTGACTCAGACAAGGATTCTTCATTGGTGTGAAAATCATTAGGTGAAGAGTTGAAGGCGAAATGGCTATTCCTGTGACACCAAGGTGATGCCATATGGATTATGACTCTTCACAAGGTGCAAGCCAAACTATACAACACAGGATCAGCCACAGTCCAACGTCAATCTTTGCATCACAAATGGTGTCAACCAATGTGATGTGTCACCTTGCAGCAGCTGGAATCCATCAAGCCTTTAGACATCACTTCTAGTTTTTAGGAAATACAAGGAATGGTTAAATGAGACCACAAGAGAGCTACCAGATGAACGTAGAAAGTGGCTGATCTCTTTCATAAGTCAATGTCATAGAAAAGAGATGCATTAGATTAAGACACTTAAGGGACTCAACATCCAGATGTACTGTGTGGTCCCAAATGGACAAACAGGATGTATAGTACATTTCTTGCCTGTTGGGGAAATCTGAATATGCTCTAATAATGTTATCAGTAATATGTCATATGAGCTCTGACAGGTGGGATGGAAATTACTGGACTAGGAAGGTAGAGATTGTGACTGAATGAAGGTCAGGATGGTATGTACAGTATGATCACATTTTGCAAACACACAAGTCTATGTATGGATATACATGCACACACGTGTGTTATCGTACACACTATATGCATAATCTACGAGGATAGACACCAAAGAGCTGACACTGGTGGTCTGTGTGAAGGGAATGTTAGGTTTTGTTTTCAAGAAATCTTTTCTTGTCCCTTAAAAAGAAAAAAAGGAAGAAAAATGACTGGGGCCCTTCATCCAGTGTCCCCATCAGAAGGGCTGCCCTGAGCTGTGGGTGCTCCTGGGATCCCCATTCTCCTACAGCTGTTAGCGCCAGGCCCCCAAGGGTGCAGGTCTCAGTCACTGACTTGCCAATGCTGGGCAGGTAGGAAAATCTGGGGTGGACTGCATGCCAGACCTCACTCTTTTTGGAAACGGTAGTCTCTGGTAGTCATTCCCAGCCCCTGGTCTGTAATGCATTTTTCTCTGCTTGGTGGAGAAATGAGAAAAATAAGGACACTGTTGTCAGTTTTTTCATAGAACCAAATGTATTCAGTATAAAGGACTGTTCTTTGTTCTAAGGTTATGAAGTTCTAAATTTTTCTATTTTTTTATTTGAAGTTTTACACTTTTAAATATTAAAATGCCTTTCTTCTTCCTCCCAATCTTCATTGAGATATACTTCACATCCAACCAAATCTACCCATTTTTCAGTGCGTGGTTTGACGATTTTAACCACCACTATGATCAAGACACATTTCCATCACCCCTAAAAGTTCCCTGGCACCCATTTCAGTCAACTCCTGGTCCCAGGTAACCACTGATTTGCCTTCTGCCACTAGTTTTGCATTTCCTACAATTGATTATGAATTTAGGCATACAGAGAAAAGCTGGAATAGTATAATAAACACCTACATAGTCAACATGGAGATTCGACAATGAACATTTCGCTGCATGTGCTCATCTATCTCTATTGCTTTTTTCCTTTTGAACCATTTGAAAGTAAATTGCAGACATCATGACAATCAATAAATGTCAGAATGCAGCCGCTAAGCATAAGGACAAAGTGTCCTTCCTCTTATAGAGATGAGTGTAGATGGCAATTTAGAAAAAAAAAATCCTCACTTGGCCAAAATAAAAAGTTATCCACCTCTTTCTACAATTCTTTTAGAAATCTACTGGTCTATTAATTCTCAAAGTCTAAGAACCATTCACTGGCTATACAATACTTGTTTCTCTGGGGTCAGCATCCAGTGAGAAGCAGCTGCGAGTCCTGTGTT